AAAATCCTTCCACCTCCTTTGTTCATGTGAACTGTCTTGCATTTATGTGTAATGTAATGTGTGCACAATTATGTGTAATTTATATGTATTTTAATCTTTAAATCCAGGCTCCTCTTCCTTGCTTTTGGTGACAATGAGAAAAGCCCCAGCATACAGTCTACTTCAGATACAAACTGTGCAAGTCCATAGTGAATTCCCTGGATCTGTAGAACATATATATGCAATTTTCTTCTGACTCTGCACAGGGTTACACAACTAGAGCTCTCAAATGTGGTCTGAGTCCCTTCATTGTTCAATATAAGGTTTTATCAGTGTCAACACTGTTGGAACGCTTTGTACCTGTCTCCAAATGGCTTTTGCTAGCTGTGGGGCAGGGGCTTTGGAGTGTTGGAAGGTTAATTTTTATTGCTGTAACTATTTTATCTACAGAGGTTTGAAGGTCACAGAATTTTGAGTTCTGGAGGAATATAAGACAACACAGGACTCCTGCACTTTGTATTAATGCCATTTCTGTATGCTTTGCACACAAACTGCACACTTTAGAGCCTATATTTCCTTGTATTCAAAGCCACTTCTGAGTAGCATGGAAATCCATTTCAGTCTAGACACCTAATAATTTGAAATACCTTTTTTAAAAAATACCCTATACATCAATCTGAACTAGATGGATCCAATAAAATTTTAAATGAATACTTTATAATGGTAATGTTACAACTTTTCAGCAGACTAAATAAAATTTAGCATAGGAGCAGCAAATTGACAAACAAATACAAGGTCCAGGGATAATTTAAAACCCCCTCTCACTGCAGTTTTCATGCATGCTAACTGCATTCCTGGTTACAATCTAACATTCAAAATGTTTAGATGGATCCAATAAAATTTTAAATGAATACTTTATAATGGTAATGTTACAACTTTTCAGCAGACTAAATAAAATTTAGCATAGGAGCAGCAAATTGACAAACAAATACAAGGTCCAGGGATAATTTAAAACCCCCTCTCACTGCAGTTTTCATGCATGCTAACTGCATTCCTGGTTACAATCTAACATTCAAAATGTTCTCCGGGGGGGGGGGGGGGGGGGGGGGAAAAAAAAAAAAAAAAAAAAAAGTTAACCTCATTAGAAACATTGTAGATTCTCTGTAATTTGAAACTCATTGAAAAATCAGACCTGAGAAGGATTGTGTTGCTCTGTGCTTTTATTTCACAAAAGAACGAAGATCTTGGCAAACATGTAGTATCATACTTTCCATATATCAGCAGAGCCCAAGCAGCAGCAAAACGTTACTGATTTCTATGCTTTATTGGATGTTACAAGGGGGGAAGAAGTAAACTGAGCATAATATTCAGCTATAAATATTGTCAAACACGTTCCTGGTTTTAGCCTGTTCTAAGTAAAATAGATCTTATGCTGCCTCCTTTTGGTCACCCACAAACATCTGAAATCAGACTCCACACCATCAGCTGCAAACAGCACATTTCATAGCCTATGCCTTTCCCTCTACCCACTACTTATCAGAGGAGGTGTACTGCTTTCTTCATGGAGTAAATCCAGAAATAAATCTGATCCAGTAAATCTACTCCATTTTGTGGATATAATGAATTTTTAACAGCGTAAACTGACTTACTACAAACGTATTTAGAATACAGAAAATAAATTCATTAGTACATAAATAATAATCATCAGGTCTGTGCAAACATAATCAATATAAACACCTGAAAAATTGCTATTCATTATAACAACTAAACCAGTATGGTAACATTACCAAAGTGCCATAATGTTTTGATAGCATTCTTTAAAAATTAAGACTATCGAATATAATCATTACTGGAAATAAAATCCCACATACAATATATATTATCTTTGTGTATATTATGCTGGTCATGCTTATAATGTGTTCTGTGACATATAAGAGGATACTATTAGAAGTGTTTTGGTTATATCTTTTAAGTGCAAATAGTAGATCATAACTTTACATGCAATTGGTATGTTTTAAACATTTTACTATATTTCAGTGAGAACATAGGTAATTATTAAACTAGTCATCAATTACTTTTATAGGAAGGTACTTTTTCATAAAGTACTGTGAGTTCTGAAAAGTCAGAAAAAGATGTAGAAAAACTCGCTTTGCACTAATTTTGTGACTTTTAAAAAACTGCGTAACAGCTGCATAAAGTAAAAAGAAAGTTCTGTGTGATCCAGACCTACAGCAGCTACTCATGCAAGTGATCCATATTCTTCTGAGTACTGTAGTTGCCTTCACTGAGATTTCTTACATCATTAGTGATTAATCACAGGATTTGGAACATAGGCCCTTACTTCTATCATAAAGCCTTGGTTTCAGCTATGACGTTCTCACACAGCTTCTTCTGCACTCAGTTCTGTTCTCAGAGTTAACTCTATGTGGAATTGTGGCAAATGACCTTTTTGCTGTCAGTGTTATTATATAAGCTTACCGACATAACTGAAGAAAATTAGTACTATTGCACAGTAACTTTTCTGCAAGCACTGGTAGAAGTAACTGACACTCCTACACTATTTCCTGACCACTGAGCAAGAGAGCTCAACTCTATTTGAAATCCATGAATGATTTGTCAAATTGGGAACTGACTTTAGTTCCTGTGCAAATGTAGCATAGAGCCTTAAAGAAGCATGTCTGTTTTCCAAATTAAGCTTCATTCAGTTTTCACAATATATACTAGTAATGAGTAATTTACCACATACATCATAGCTCTGTCTGATGTCATATGCCAGAGGCTTACATATATACCAAGTATGTGTATACTTGGTATGTGTACTTGCATCCAAGTATGCTGGATGGAAGACTGCTAAAAAAACCCAACTTTGCTGTAAGGGAAAACTTAAGAGTAAAGAGCATCACCTGAATTACTGACTGACTCGCCGCTTATGTGGCCCAGCAATTTGGTCAGGACAGTGGCAATTAAGAAACCACTCACAATTCTCTAGTCTATTGCAATTTGCATGGCTATTTATACCCATATACCATGGGCATAATCTGTTACTTTCCTCATTGCATAAATTGCATGCTCATATTACTTGGGCATAAAACCAACAAAAAAACCCACAAGCAAAGGAGAATTGGGCCTTGTATTCCATCAAAGTGACAAGTTGCAATAATTAATGAAGTGTCTATGCTACCTTATGTAGCTTTATTAATGCTAAAACTGCTGTTCTCCTCTATGTCTATTTTTCTCCTAGTTTCAGTAAGCAGGAATAGTATTCTCCATCTCTCCTAAACTACTCAATACATACACTTTGCACTAACAAAAAGTAATTGTGTTCCAGTATAAAAAAGCTTGCACTTCAGTATGGTGATTGTAAATGTTATCTAGCTAAGTGTAGTTATAATATGATTGGGAGACTCACTATGAAAAGAGCAGAATAAATGTGTAAGTTGCCGGAAATACTGTTTCAACAAGTTATTTACTTCTAAGGAACTGACACGCATCTTAAGACAAATAAATTCTGGAATGGGAGGGTTCGACTCTATTAGTATGTTCTCCAAATGTGCATAGTTTTCCTTATGTCCTTATAAAAATATCTAGAATGAATGTATTGTGGAGTTAAACCATCACAGTCCTCTGAATTTATAAAGGTATCTGATAAGTTATAGAGGCAAACACAGAACTGAAACTTCCCATTGTTTACTGTTTAAAGCAGAAGTATGTTGTTACACAATATTAAGCTTTAAGCATTAATATTGAACTTGAGTTTTGCACAAAGTACATGCAGTAGTGATGTCATAATGAACTTACCGCGGTCATCTCAAGCCATATGAAAGATGTTTTAGATGCCTCACTGAATTGTCTTCATTTTTAAACTGCTTGGAAAAGAAGAGCTTATATGTTTAGAGCCATTCTGTCTGGCATAAGACGCTTTACTGCTTAAACAATACTTACATGGAGCATAAGGGCTCCCAATTCAAATAGCTGGTAAGAAAGAAAATTTCAGGCTGTGAAGATTACACATGAATTTATGAAACCTAGCTAATTTCAGTGTCCTTTCTGTCAGACACAGGTCCCACTCTATGCATGAGATCAAACTTACTTCACAGTGTTTGCCTAGACTAATATTAATACTAAAAGTCCATTGCAATTTTAACATTATAATAGATGACTACTGAAAGTTTATCAGGTAATATATTGTGTAGTGTTTACCATGTAATATTTTAACACCTGAAATTGCCATGAAGTACAAGATAAAGTGTTTTAATTAATTTAAACCACCACAGAAGTTAAAAACAGGAATCCTTTCACCTCAGAAATACCATTCACTTTGACTCTAAATATGGGGATTTATTTTTGTAAGTTTGTATTTGATGTATGACAAGATACGAACTTTTCCCGTAGTTAACCGAAGGAACAACTACAATGGATTTTACAGCTTGCTGCTGTAAGGAGCCTAGTGGCTGCTTAGCAGGTAGCACTGCAGACTTCAGAGTTGGAAGACTTCAGCTAGAAAACACCCTGAAGTGTTTTTTCTTTAGTTACCAGCATGACTGAAGCAGATACCACATGAATCATCCACCCTGTAGAAACCTTCCTCACCCTCCACTGTTATCAAAGGTTATCTTGTCGCAGTTAATGGGATGAAAACAGAAAGTACAGCTACTACTAAGGCACAAGGATGGAGAAAAACTGGTAAAACTGCAGAGCTGAAGTAAGATGACAGGAATTACCAGTCTCTTCCAGTTAGGTAGCCAGTCTTAATGCTGTGAAGGTCACTTTGGCTCTTGCTCTTGCTAAGGTCATTCTAGTAAGATGAAGCTGACAATGAATTCCTCTTACAGGTTTATGAATATAAAAAACCTAAATAAAACAACACTGATGTAGATTTCTGTTAAACTTCAGTTACATAGGGAAAACAGTATCACAGTTTTCTCACTCAGCAATTTGTCTATCGGGACAACTGTGAATATTACAGAAATAATGGCACATATTACACAACAAATTTCTCATGACTATGCTTTTTTTGAAAAGTAGTATCATTTTGCAAAGTATTCAGATAATTACAGAGAAGACTTGCATATAAAATTAGGTAATGCTTTCTAGATAATGACTAGCATGAATGACAATTTAATGGACTCTTCCAAAAGCAATTCTATAGCATACAATTTAAACGGAAGCTTTAAACAAAACAGTACATAATTTTTCCATCTGTAAATTAGTACCTAAAAATATGTTCTAAAACTTGTGCATTTAAATAGATTCCCTTGTGTCTGGAGTTTCAAAATTCTCCAGAGCAAATTGTCAGTACAGATGACCAGGGGTCCCTGTATTTATTAAACTGAATGACCTGACAGTAAAACTCAGTTAAGGCTCTTGGCATTGGTGAAACTTCTTCCCACTCAGACCTACTACTGTGGTAGACTTGAACTTCATCTGTGATTTCTTCTGGAGCATAATCGCCACCTAATATATAAATTTTGTCTTCTGTCCCAACAGCCCCTGCATTAAAGCCAGCACATTCAAAAGATCCTTCCCCTTTCCAAACACAGGTTTCTGGACAAAAACTGTAGACCTTGTAGGTGGAGAGATCACATATGTACAATGTACAGTTCACTGGAACGGCTTTGATTAGAGTTGCATGGAAAAACTGCCCGAATTCTGCTACAAGCTCAGACCACTGATCAGTCATAGCATTATACTTAAAGAAACAGTCAAGAGATGGATTAAAAGCATCAGTAATCTCCACTTCTGAGCCAAGGACATAAATTATATTCTGACATGCACTTGCTTCTGGATAGTAGATACCTCTTGGTAATTGGCTTACAGATTTCCAGTCTTTGGAAAGAGGATTATAGGATTCTACATCCAAAAGACTTCGGGTTTCTTGAGCTCCTCTGGTCTTCCCACCTATTACAAACAGCTGATTTAAGGTTACAACAGATGTGTGCATTGTCCTTGGTTTTTTCATAGCTGACACTATGGAGAATTCATTGCTCACCGGACAGTAGCACCAGGTTTGGTCAGTGGCATCATGAAATGGTTCAGCAATATGAAGCCTGACAGTCCTGTAGCAATTCCCTTTGCATCCTCCAGTTATAAATATTTTTTCTCCATAGCTAGATAGACTTGACCCTGGAAGATCAATCATGTGCGTATGTGGTAGTTCTTTCCACTTATCTGTTTTGATGTTGTAGCAGAATGTATGTCTGTTTTCTCCATCTTCATCAGTTTTATGAACAAATATGTATTTTTCTGTTGTTGACGGACGTGCATCTGGAAACAGGCCACTAAAATTCTGCACACTTTCAACTGCATCATTGATTATTACTGAGCAATTGGCACTCTTGAGTAAGTGTTCTTCAGAATCCAGAAACTCCTGCAAAGTCTTTTCAGGTAACTGATGTAGTCTCACTTTTTTAATCAAATTAGGCAGATATTTCTGTCGTGTGTCTAAGTTGTGTTTGGTCCATTGAAGGACAGCTTTCAGCACTGATTCTTCCTCGGGGACATCCAGTTCGTCAGCCTCAAGACATTTTTGTAATATCTCAAAATTCATCTCCAAAAAATCACTTGATCTGAGCAGCAAGGAAAAGTGGTGCTGTACAAAATCTAGCGCATGATCAAATAAACGCCCAGAACCGTAACTTTCAGATAGAGAAAGCAACTGTAAGCAATTCACAAGATCAATACTTTTTATTAGAAAGTCACTGCAAGCTTTGGAAAGGAGTGAAACTTGAAGAAATGACGACAGTTGGAAGAGCATTTCCACATTATCATTTGTTATCTCTGTTTTTCCTGTGTAAGCATAATCAAGAAAAGCTTTCACTGCCTTGGGTGATAGATTACTAATAGTAACATTGCCATCATCTCGTTCTTTCATATTAACTTCAAACATGGCTCTGTGAATAAAATATAGAAGATACACACACAAATTAAAGATCTAGCAAACGGCAGAGAACACCGACGTGAGTGGAAAGAGACAATAATGTGGACAGGCTGTATAGGTCTAAAACGTGGTTCTTGTAAGGACAACGCATTTGCTTGATATGGTTGAAGAAAAAAAGAGTGGTGCTAAGTACATATTCAAAGTGATGGCTCATAAAAATGATAGCAACACCTGTGTTTTGTATGGATTTTCAGAGTGATGAAGTCGACAGCTCTCAAGGTGAGATAAGATGTGAAATTTTTAGGGGCAGCATCAGTTTCAACAGCTTGAGAAAGGCTGATTTAAAAAGTATACAGTAAAAAGCCCCATGATTTAGGTCATGCACTGTGGGTGAATACAGAAGACTAAATGAAAAAAGGATTCCAAATTGCAGGCTGAGCAACTGGCAGGATGGATGATGGGTGCACTCCTCAGCAATAAAAGTAGATGAGGGATGAAAGGAAAAAAAAACCAGGAGGAAACTTAACTCTTGCTTTATAGTTGACAGATAGATGTATGGGTACAGGCAGATGTCAGAAAAAATGAGGTTTTGACACAGGATTGCATGACACAATGAAACATGCAGAAAATGGATTGTGACGGAATACAAAGATGATGGTTGAAATCATGGAACAAACATTATTGATCAGTAAACTTATACAATTTTTATTACAACTTTGACTACTTTATCGGTAAATATATAATAGCATTTAACTATTTCACACAATCTGACATGGCAAGACATAATATTTCAGGTTTTTCAAGCTGGTAAGTGCTGGCAACAGAACAGTGCTGCAACATCAACTGCCGTACCCTCTCGGAGCCTAAGCATCATGCTGTGATAGCAACAGCTTTTGAATGTGTCAAAAGGTGATCGTGCAGAAAAATTTAGATAAATCATCAAACACTAAATATATAATCTGGATTATTATTTTTATCACAGATAGTTTCTATTAAAAATAGATTATATTGTAAGTTAGTTATACAATTAGTATGTGTATAGTATGTGATTTTTAAAATCCAATACTTTCATGAAGCCAAATCACTGTGTATAGCAGAGTCTTTGGGAAGTGAGCATCACATAAATCAGAATTTTGTCTGACATGAACAAGAACATAGAATTACAGTAAAATGCTTATGTCCCAAACCCCGTTTTGCATACTAGATGACGCTCCTTAGAATCCTCTCCTCATTGATCCAAGAGCTATGATACAAATCTCCAAATTATAGAAGAAAATAGCAACTTAACAATACTAGGAGAGCAATCTAGGCAAAGGCTTTGATTCTGAAAGCTACCAAGTAGGGAAAAAAATGGTGGTGAATTTTGGGTTTACACAATGAAACCAATACCTAAGTCCAAAGGCCAAGGAAGACAAAAGGTGTTTAATTTTAAAATTTATCTAGTGGACCTAGGTACTTTTTATTCCCTGAAGGTAATACAGGAGTCTTGCATTCCAGGACAATTTATGAATTTGATGACTACTGTTATCAACTGTTACATGCAGGACAAGGTCTCTCCTGGCAAATTTTTACTTGAAGAGCCTGTAGGTAGTGAAAAGGCCACATATGTTACCACGTGCTTAACTTCGGCTCAAAAAATTTCCACTGGAAGCTATTTCATCTTAATATTCCTTTCTACCAAAGCATCTCTGTGCTGGCAAACAGTGAACAACTGAAATTCAAGTAGTTCTGTGTGGCAGAATTAAAAACAATCTGCTGCTACAGTGGAGAAATTCCTTATTTCATCTGCATTTCGTCCTTTCTCAGTACTCCTAAGAACATGTCTAGCCTGCATCTTGTCATATATGGCAGACCCACACAGACCACAGGATGTTCAAGGCCATTTGAAAATAAACACTTATCACCTATGTATGGTCAGCTCAATCAACTCATTCCCAGAAGCCTATTTTTTCATTGTTAGTTTGTTAGCTTTGTGTTTTAGTGTATTTGGAAGCAGACTTTCACTGTGGAATTAAAAGTTTAGGCCTTACTAAACTAAAAGGTTAGCAAGGTTCTTCATAAATTAATATCCTGTATGTGAATGATCTGTCTTTCCCTTAAGAAGAAAAAGCTTTAAGCACCAGAAGGGAGATCACAGTTCCATTTCATGCTGAAATCTGTAGTTTAGAAAAAAAATAGGATATCTGTTTAAATACCTCTGAAGACAAAATGCTAGTATAATGCTATATATAGAGGGCTGGACAAGGCTTTGAGCAACCTGGTCTAGTGGAAGGTGTCCCTGCCCATGGCAGGGGGGTTGGAACTAGATGGTCTTTAAGGTCCCTTCCAACCCAAAGGATTCTGTGATTCTATACTGACCACTCATCTTAGGCAAACAAAATCCAGCCTATTCCAAAACCATGTACAATTTATTCACAATTGCTCAATACAAGATGTATTTGTAAACAACCTGTTATGTTTCACAATATAAATGCATCCAAGTCCATAGGCTGTCCCATACAAAATCAAAAAACACACTTGTGGACCTTCAAGTACTGTACAGGGAACAGATGAGTCTTGAAGATACACAACTTGTGTCAATTCTGCCTAACAGCAGAACCAAATGCTTATGGTTTGACTTTTGTTTTTCAGACTATAGACTGCTGTATGAATCTCAAATGCATAGAGACCTCATGTCACTTTGGAAATACAAATAGATGTATCTGGGCTATAGTTATGCATCTATGCAGCCCTGAGGAGAAGGACTTGGGGGTACTGGTGGATGAAAAGCTGGACATGAGCCGGCAGTGTGCGCTGGCAGCCCAGAAAGCCAACCGTATCCTGGGCTGTATCCAGCTAAGTGTGGCCAGCAGGTCGAGGGACGGGATTCTGCCCCTGTACTCTGCTCTGGTGAGACCCCACCTGGAGTGCTGCGTCCAGCTGTAACCCTCAAAATCAGAAGGACATCGACCGGTTGGAGCAAGTCCAGAGAAGGCCAGGAAGATGATCAGAGGGCTGGAGCACCTCTGCTATGGGGACAGGCTGAGAGAGTTGGGCTTGTTCAGCCTGGAGAAGAGAAGGCTCCAGGGACACCTTATAGCACCTTCCAGTACCTGAAGGGGCTACAAGGAAGCTGGGGGGGACTTTTTACAAGGGCCTGTAGTGACAGGACAAGGGGTAATGGGTTTAAATTGAAAGTGGGGAGGTTTAGATTGGATATCAGGAAGAAGTTCTTCACGGAGAGGGGGGTGAGGCACTGGAACAGGTTGCTCAGAGAAGCTGTGGATGCCCCATCCCTGGATGTCTCCAAGGCCAGGCTGGATGAGGCTTTGAGCAACCTGGTCTAGTGGAAGGGGTCCCTGCCCATGGCAGGGGGGGTGGAACTAGATGATCTTTAAGGTCCCTTCCAACCCAAACCATTCTATGGTTCTATGATCTAACACTGTAGTTTTGGTTTGGTTCTGGGGTTTTTTTTAGCTATCTTTAATATGATGTTTGAACACTTTGCTCAAAACTCTGCAGATATGTAAGTTGTGATGATTTATTTTTTAATTTTTGTAATTAATTACATTCCTTCTCTCCCTCCCAGAGAACTTACAATCCATTTCCTGCAAAGTCATGCCAAAATCAGGTTTACCTGAAAAAATCACTGCACGCTGCCAGTACACAACGATGACATGGAATTATTTCATCTTTCACAAGAATTTTGAAGTCAAAGAATATATTTTGTTCTCTGAACTTTTGTAGTACTTTTAGAATTTGTTGTCCATGACCTTCAGCCACTAAGGAATTGATTTTATTTTCAGGAACAGAAATTCCATTGCAAATAGGTCTGCTAATGTAATCCCGTTGATTTGCCATGGTTTCTTCAAATTACTCCTGAAACGGAAAAATAAGTCATTGTTTTTACAGTCTTAGTATTAAAAAAAAAACCAAACACCAAACCCAAATCGCAAACAAACATCATAGCATAGAACAAACAATCTAACAAATCTCAGCACTGAATTTGGTTTGTAAGTCCTAAGCACAGTTCTAACTTTGTGTTATAAGTGACTCATGCTGAATGTAATTTGATAATACTACTTCTACTTTGTACAATATATACACATCACATTATTTGAAAAGTAAAATAGCTGACATGTATCACAGAACAACTCTAAAAATAGTACCCACCTGTAGGATTTGTTTCAATAAAGTCCACAGGAAAACCACCAAGGAATGTGTTATAATTTTTAATGGTCATTTAAGAGAAAGACTAGTCCTAGGCTTACCCTCAAATAAGCCCAGTCTTACAATTTAATGTAAAATGAAGATGGAAAAGGAAAAATTTTTTACGTATTTTTTAGATTCCAAGAGGCTTATCTGTCTATTACAAACCCCCAAACTCAGAGTAGACCAATGGTCTTTCTACACGTTACGGCAGAAGGGAGATACAGAATACTGGAATACTTTCTCAGTGGATTCCCATGAGGCACTCCAGACTAGACCAACAGAATACAAACAGTGACAGCCTGGCCTAATCACAGGATTGCTAGGCCTCACGAAATGGGGTAATTTAGAGGCAGTTTGGCAACAGAGCAACTTTGAGTGTTTAGTCAACTGAAACTGATTTATCTAGTACCTCTAGTCTCGCTATGAAGCTGTATGTTTACTTACAGCTTATGCTGCACACTGTAAGCTTATTTACAGTGGCGTAAATTAACTGGCTTCAGAACTGATTTGAATTGAAGACATTGCAATCTCCCCTTCAGCAGCCCATTTTTTCTGGTGCAAATCCCTATACATCCCTATACAAGTGCATTGTTTGTATGGTAAGTTGGGCTTCACTATTTTTTACATTATAAATATTTTACTCCACTTTGACAACATAAAGAAACTTTAAACATGAGTATATTTTATGTGCACCTATGTAAAGGGCTATTTATACTGCTACAGATGCATAAACTGCCCTTACTGCCAATTTGAGTCAAGCTTGCCTATTTTAAAGCTTAAGGAAACATTCAAAAGTTTTTCTACTGCAGGATTCTGCTTCCACAATTCCAATTAAAATTAGCAACAGATAATGGCCCACCTGAATTGACAAAGGAGGGGATAAAAATTCCAAGCCAAACCCAGAAACCAAAAAAATACTGGGTTTGGGTTTTAATTACAGGAAAAGGTTTATCTGATAACGTGATACGTTCAGAGCAAACTAAGCCATCAGGGAGTCTTCTTCATGGGAGGTGCTTTCATAGCAGACTGATCTATACTTTATCTAGTCAGGTAGCTCCAACCACAAATAGACCTCCATGTCTCCTGGAATAGAAGAGATCCATTGATCTTGCTGCCAGCACTGGCACCCTTGGAGCAGGCATCTTCTCCTTCTCATGGCCAGAC